GGATTAACAACTTTACACAGCTTCCTGCCTACACTTAGTCTGTGTGGTGCCTCACTCTTCCTCATTGACCTGTAGCACAGGGCTCTCACACTGACCTCCCCTGACAACCTGTTTGGACACTGAATAAAGATACAAGTACCATTAGCATTATTTCTGTATTACTCATGTCAGCACGTCTTAAACATATATACTTTACACTTAGCAAGAGTAGCATTAGGTAGTTAACTACCTCCTTAGTTAGCCAACTACCTATCGCTATTATAACAGTGTCTAACAACAAAAGTGACATTAGTTAAGAAAACCTCAACTATAGTTTCGGACGACATAAAATACCGTTTAAGAAAACATGTAATATCGAGAATTGACATCAAATGAAGGACATAGCGGAGTAACGTAGTGTTTGCATTTGACTTTAGCTAGCGTTTCTTTGTCGGTTAATTTACGTTTTCTTACCTTCGTAGTTGTGTATATGTGATGCAGCATATAACTTAAATCCTTTATCTAATTTGCTGGCGGGGGTAGTCGTCACTCTGCAAATCCGATGATCATCAGTGATGTTCAATTTTGGGAGCTCTTGTAGGCAGCGAGTGTAGAACGTCGCCATGGTTTAACCACACCGGAAGCACTGGGGCAGGACTACATAGAACGCGGAAGTGATTGTGCAAGTAGTCCATTCTTGTTCGGGCTAACGTTCTCCTAACTTGATAGTGCAATAAAACAAATAAAATAAGTGTGCTATTCGGAGTTCGAATGAAATTTTAAAAGCAGATGGGACAATATTCAGATGTGCAGTAACGTCGAATATGCAAATGAATGTTTCCAATGCTAGCAAAATGCTACAACCTACAGAACACATACTGCCCACATATTTACCGGAAAAATATACGCCATATATTATCACAAAGTACTAGTTAAATTATATTCTATTAAAAATAGGAAGAAATTACCTTAACTCCAACGGATGAATCATGATTAATCCCTCTTTCAAGACACGTAGCCAAAGCACACTGTAGCGTAGATGAAGAAGGTCAATGCGTATGCGCAAAGATTTCTTTTTCATTCTCTGCGCATGCTCAGAAAGGATGTGGAAAGGGCTTTTTGGATTTAGTTAAATGTGTTAAATAAATTGGAAATATCAATATTATTTAACATTAAAACAGTATAGGATTAATTAAATCAAATTTAAATATATTACACCCATAAGATTAACAATTTTAAGTATATTGAACATAAAACTAAGAATTAATTTTTAAAAAGCCCATGTTTCATTTCTTAGAGTGCAGGTGAAATTAGAGCAACAGGACTGCTGAGTCTTTGATTTTATTTATTTTCTGCTGTGTTTCACTTGCATTCATTTGAAAGACTAAGTGTGAACACAAAAAATATTTTTATTTTATGTGCTGGAATGTGCAGAAAATAGGTTTAAATGTTAAACAAATTTCTTCCAGTCAGGGAATGTTGCATATAATAAAATTTTTTCTTGATGCATAAAGTTAAAAGATTAAAACTAGTAAAACAAGTTTTAAAAAGAGACTTTTCCATTTGATTACTTTTTGTATGATGGATTATGCAGAAAAAGTAGAATTGGGCTGAAAGATCTATTGCTTTATTACCTATTCAGGTTGTAAATCATGTTTTTAAAAAAGTAACTAACTAAGTAATTAATTACTTTTGAAAATAAGTAATCAATGAAGTAACTGGATTACTTTTTGGCCTCCTAGGCCTTAAATACTGCCTGGGGTAATCAGCTGGGATAAGCAACAGGTGAGTAAGGCGTAGGGTTTGAATCCAGGATGACACAGATATCTGTGACTGGAGTCCCAAAGCCTTAGTTATGGCTTTGTAACCCTTTCCAGACTGATCGATGTCAGTGATTTTGGTTCTCAGCTGTTTTTTGAATCGTTGCATGCTGTGTTGCCATTTGAGATCTCTTAGCCTGCGTCCATTTGTTATACAGATCCTATTTATGTGATTTCTTGATTCAACAGTTCTGGCTGTAATCAGACTTTGGTGTGGCAATGAAACTGAACTCAGCTATGTAAAATTATTTCCTAGTATTTAAGATTCAAATGTTTGTTTCTTCACTGGTTGTCTTTTACCTGCTTCCACATGTTTTTAATTGATTTCTTAGATTTCTTAGATTTACATGAAAGATTTTGCATTTGCTCATTTACATTATCAGTATAAAATTTGCATTATGAGGCAAACAGCAGCTGGTGACGTGCAGTGTCATACACAGAAAGCAAAGCTATAAATAGTAGCTGCCCTCTGAGTATTCCTAACTTGCTCACCTGTTGCCATGTGCATCCAGGATTTCGGTCACCTGACTTCCCTAGCTGTTACAGATCGGACTTGCGTACATGTTGCTGATGCCTCAGCCTGAACTGGCTACACTTTTGTTGATTGGTCTTACTCATTTTTTTGTAGAGATCACCTCTGGATTATTTCCATGAAGCCTTCCATCAATTGCTGGTATGTTTTTATTTTGTGTTGTGTATTTATTATTTTACTTGGTAGTAAACAAGTGAGTTTATAGGTTATAGCTGCAGAAGCCTCCTATTGGCCTCTTTGTTAACAAATTGATGATGCTGTTTGAACTGTACATAACTTTGATTTGTTACAATCTTAGCCTTACTGCTGTTACGGCCCTATCTGGGCCTCCTGAAACTGCCCTTGTGTGGGTGTGGTGTCTTTTCTCTGCCTCCTCCTCTCTCTGCCCCTGCCTTCTCTTTTAGGACACACCTGCTGCTCATCTGGCCTTGTTTACCACCAATTACCCTCAGAGGTAATATAAGCTGGAGAAGAGCAGTGTGGATGTGGGAGAGGCTTCTGGTGGATTTCATCTGTGCTGGTCAGTGTGTGAGTCTGGTCTAGGTGGGGAAAAGGCCTGCTGTGTGTGTGACCAGCCTCACCATGCGTGGCTCTTTGTGAGTAGCTCTTAACTGAGCAGTGGTTTTGCTTAAGTGACGGCGGCCTCCATTATTTTGTTTGGCCTGCCTGGTTATTGCTAAGAGCAGTGTTGCTGTCTTTTTCTGTTGAAGCCTTATAGTTGTTTTCTTTGTTGAAGTGGTCACCATCTCTTTGGGTTGGCCTGTCTGATTTATCATTAAAGCAGCGTTGCTGTCTCTTTTTGTTGTTACTGTTTGTATGAATATTGAGTTAATTGATTATAATAAAGATATATTTTGTGTTAACTACTAGGGGTGCAACAATACACAAAATTCACGGTTCGGTTCGATACTTTGGTGTCACGGTTCGATATTTTTTCGATACAAAAACAAATGTTCATGCCTTTTTAATTTGTCATTTATTAAAATTATAAATATATATTTTAACTCAAAAGTACAGTTTTTAAATTTAATGTTGCTGAAACAACAAAGTAATAAAAAAAAATAAATCTATTTGATCGAGAAATCACTCATCTTTGGAAAAGAGTTTATTACAGAAAAATGGCTCTTTCCAAAATAAAATACTATATACTATACTATACGCTTCTTCTGGGCTATATTCTCAGCAGCATATTAAACATATCAGGTCCCCATAAGGAGAATCATGTGCTAACGGCTGTCTAAGGGTAAAGTTTGTAGCATGCGTGCTTGTTGTTTTTGTCTGCTTCCACTTGTCTGTGCACTAGGATGATGTCGGAGTAAATGTGCAGTCATATTCGTTGTGTTCCCACTAGTGCTGTCAGCGTTAATCTGAAATGACGTTAACGCCACAACACGGCAAATCTCCGTCAACGAGCTACGCTCCGTGTGTGGGGCTGGACGGCCAACACGTTAACGAGCTAACTGCGCTAACGCACTAGTTCCCACCCATGTAATTGAGCATTGCGTGGCACATCCGACATACTGTTTTACTTTTGTCCATGACGCGCTTACCTTCAGGGTCATATGTCACATGAAAACCAAAATAGTTCCTAACGCCACATCTGAATGAGGGTAGGGGAGGTTCAATTTGCCATGTTGCAAGGAGAGCTTAACTTCTGTCTGGCTAGCTTGCCCTGCGCTCAGTGAATCTGCGTTCGACTACTCCGCCTAGGCTGCACTGTCGAGCGCAGATCCACTGAGCGTTCAACACAGACAGCATCGTCAGAAGGAAAGTTGATAAAATAAATTAAAAATTTTGTATTGTTCGATACATATGCGTACCGAACCAAAAGCACTATATCGAACGGTTCAATATCAATACGAATATCGTTGCACCCCTATTAACTACCTCTGCCTGGCGTTCTTTTCCTTTCCAACCCGGATCCAACTGTTACTGTCCCCCACCCTCTTCGCTTAACTTTCATGTGGGGACGTAACACTGCTATTATTGTGTTTTGCTGTGAATGCTGATTGTATGATGCATTACAGGAATTGTGGGTCTGAGTGGGCGGCTGATACATTTATGTTGAGGCTGCTACTGCTTCTCTGGGCTATACTTTACTACTTTGGATTTATTATTTTTGCTTCTTGTCTTTTCTTTTTGCTCTTTTTTTTTTTGTAAGCAAGCATCTTGCAACCTTTAGATTACATACTTAGTCACGGGGGGCTACAGGTGAGCCCACCCTCGTGCTCACTACCATCAGCAAAACAAGTCATAAAAAGAGTATATGTTGTTTCCTTATCAAGCACACCCAAGGACAGCACCCCCTAACGTTCACATGGAAAGGTACACTCCACAACTGTCCCTCTGTAGTCTCCTGCTGTACTATTCTTCTTTACAACCTACTGCTTATCTTGGCACATCAGAGGGGAACTGAAACTGTTACTTTCTGCTCTAGCTGCCTTAAACTCACTTGGGCATCATGGAAAACACAAATTTTTATATTCTGCCTTACGGGGATTTGTTTCCCCTGCGTCGGGAGCACACGCTGGACTGTCCAAATCACGGACAAACAGTATCCCACATTGTTGATTTTTAGTTTACAAACACTTCTTATAATGACTGACTACTCCTGACATTTTTGAGATCTTAGCTCTTTATACAACGAAGTTATAGTGGGATACAAATAATATCAGGCTGGTCCTGCCACAGTTTGTTCCCCCTGTGTAAATCACGGACAAACAGTATCCCACATTGCTGATTTTTCGTTCACAAACACTTCTTATTATGACGCATTTCTCCTGAAACTTTGGAGGATTTAGCTCTTTATATAATAAAGTTACAGGAGAATAAAAATAGTTATTAGCCAAAATGTTTATGGTTTATTAAAATAATCCCATCTGATACCCCGTGAGCAATAAATATATAATTTTCTGTTGTAACCCTCAAACTGAATGGTAATGTAACGATACTAATTTTTCACAAAATGAAAACATCAGTACTTCCTGCATGCTCCCAGCACAGGGGAAACAAATTCTGTCGGGGATACCTACTTTGGCACGACACCGGTCCTACAACCGCATCCAAGAATAACATGCAGCTTATCTCAGAACTGTCGGTGAAAATTATCCTTGGAGCTAGGTTTAATTGAGCTGCATTTTAAAGAGGTGCAATTTCACAATTTGTGTATATTTTCTAAGTTCACTATTTTGTCATGTGTTGAGAAAAACACAGATTTAAAAATTACATGGTCTAATATTTACATTTAGCATAACTGCAACATTATTTTTTCGTTTTTTTCTTTTTAAAGACTCGAAAGGACTTGAAATTCAAAATTTCAGACTTGTGACTTTACTCTGACTTTTACACCAGTGACTTGAGACTCGACTCTGACTTGCCTGACATTACTTGAGACTTGACTTGAGACTTGAGGATAAAGACTTGAGACTTACTTGAGACTTGCAAAACAATGACTTGGTCCCACCTCTGTAAACAACTATTAATAACTATGGGCAGTTAGTTAATTATCACAGAATTCATTATCTATGGTCATCAGTACAACTCATGCTAACATAAGTTAAGTAATACTACGGTGTACTGTCCTTCTTTCTTCATTCTTAAACAGGCAGTTTGTCTTTTTGACATCAATAAATGTAATCTGACTGAATGTGTGTTTGCAAAGCCTGTTATCAACCTGACTGCTTTCTCATACGCTGGTTTTGCTGCCCGTCCCGTAGGAGTTTGTGGAAGCACTTCCGTGCAGTTTCTCTCTGTCCCTTCCTGCTGATCTTTCCAGCGTACATGGCTTTTATGATCTGCCAGTTCTTCCACACGGACTTCTGGCTTCTCATCATCATCTCCTCCTCAATCCTCACCTCTCTCCAGGTAACACACAACCGCATCGCAGTGTGCAAAAACATTAAATTAAATAGTTTAAACTTGCTCTACCCAAACAGTTCAGGCCAATAATAATTAAACATTTATATTTGCTTGTTTTTTAATTCCATAATAACTCTGAAACACTCTACCGCCAGGTGCTTGGCACTCTGTTGACCTGTTGTTCTCTTCATGGTGGAGGAGTTTCGTAAAGCTCCAGTGGAGAACATGGATGAAGTCATATATTGTGTAAATGGGACCTACAGATTGCTGGAGGTTCTGGTATGTGTCACACACACGTACAGCAACTCTTTGCTAAGTTCTGACTGTAAACCAACACTGTCATGTAATGCATCAGCACTGTCTCTGCCTCACTGTCAGTGATTTGTTACCTCACCAGGTTGCGGTGTGCTGTGGTGTATCAGAGACTGTATTTGGCGAGTGGAGTATGATGGGAAGCACCATCATCTTGGTCCACTCATACTATAACGTCTGGCTCAGAGCCCAGCTGGGCTGGCAGAGCTTCCTGCTCAGGAGAGATGCTGTAAACAAGATAAAAAGCCTCCCCACAGCTAGCAATACACAGCTGGAGCAGTATAACGACATCTGTGCTATACCTTGTGTGTCACCTCTGACACCAAGAACTGCAGCAAGCGTTTGGTGCTAGAGGTCACATTTTGAGTTTGTGAAGCTATTTAAGGTAGACACACGTAATTAGCGGCAGCTGTGTTGTTGATCGGGAGGAAGCAAACAGTTTGTGACCGCTGCGCTGCTGTTAAATCCTAGAAATAAAGAATCTGAAGGACAAGATGAGTAAGGCTGGAGTTATTGGACTGTATCAAGTTTAATAACTTCATGCATACCAGTGACATCGCGTCACCCCCGCCAACGAACACCCCAGTGGCTTCAAGCCTGGGCTTAGCCTCTACAGGAGAGGTTTCAGCCATGTGTGTCCATCACAAGCCCACCACCATGATCTCAGGCCTTGAGGCAACAATCATGAAAACTAATCTTAACTGAGAGTGTTGGATGTCCTCATTGTTGCAGAGCACATGGACAGCTTACTCACCTGGTTCTGTGGGCCAGCAGCACATGTCACACCATCCATCACCCTTGTCATCACATTCAATCTTGGTCTGAGAGAAACCTGAAGACAGAAACGTTCAATGATAAAAACACACAGTGGAATAAAATTGTGAGAAGTCATCAGTTGATGCAGTTTAAGGACACTTGTTCTTCTGTGCAGTCTCACCTGGAGCTCGCGTTTCTAGTTCATGCCATCATCACCAAAGATTCTTCAATTAATAGTTTAAAGATGTCCATGAATGCACTGCTAACTGCTCTTCACCCTGATAAAAATCAACATGCATTTAGAATAAGAAACACTTTTACAAAACCAAAAGCTTCACTGTACTTAGTGATTTATATGTCTAAAAAAACAGGTTCAGTTTGTAACTGAGAGAGCGGCTCAGTGGCGCTGAATTATATTTCCAATAGAAACACAATTTCATATGTTGTAGTAACAACACACTGCCACAAGATGGCAGCCTAGGCCTACTTTAACATGCTGTTCCAGTCAAAAAGAAAAAGTGACAGAGCCTTGAAAGAGTGACAGAGACACTTTTTATGAACTCATCTGTAATGTGTCACCTTTTCTGTAGGATGAAGAAGTGCTTCCCTTCTTTTAAAGTAAATACAGGCTTACAAAGATCCTCTAAACATGTTTCTGAAATAATCCTAAACACAATCATTAAATCAAAAATGCAAGAAACTATTTATTTAATCACTCTTCTTAACTTAATTCCTTAACTTAGTAAAAAATAAAATAAAATAGACAAGAACTTTTCTGCTGTCTCACCTCTGTCAGTTTTCATGCTGTTGCAAGAACAGGTGGAGGTGCAGGTGGAACTTTGACTTCAGTGTGGTTTGTATGTGCAGGCAGGAGTGTGACATCTCAGGACAGCAGAGGATTGTTGAGCACGGTGACTCCTGCTGCGACGCCCCCGTCTGACTGTCCTGAGCTCTTGGTCCTCAGCAGACGGCCCACACACTCATTCGTCAAGTTAGTCAGCCATAACCTGCTGACAACTTGTATCTGGTAGCTTTTTCACATCCTGATCAATGTTGTTGTCAAGTGTGTCTCATATACACTATTATCTCAGTCACAGTACAGAATGCATGAATCACAGTAGATACACAGTAACGCAAAACAGCAGGCAGTCATGTATGTGTCGTCACTGTTTTGACTGAGGCTAGCTCATACATGGAATGCAAGCAAATGCTGCATGTGTGCAGATCCACACATGCACTGCTTAAACTTCCCTAGTTTAACAAATGGTGAGCAACAAACAGAAGTTTTCAACATTTTTAAAGACGCTTCTATCCCCCCGCCCGCTGTACCTCCTCCTTCTCGCTGAGACTTCAAGACAAACCGTTCTGCTGCTGACAAGGCCACTGATACTGTTTTGTCCCTCTCTGGACCCTGTAGACGAGCGCAACCACAGAGAAATAAATCAGAGGAATAAAATGCAAATGATATTGCTTACACTGAACAGCAACACCCAGGTGAGGATTATCTAATGCCAAATTTTCCAAACAATGAACAAACCGTGCCCTTTGTCTCACCATGTCTAGAGTGTAGAGGTCAGCCAATGTCGCTCGGATCTGCTGCACAGCTTGAGGCTGGTCTGGGAAGAATCTGTCCAGGACTCCAGGTCTGGGAGCACTTGCTGAACCTTCTTGGTACCAGCCAGGTGAGCGCTGATATCTGGACACTTCACAGCTCGAGAGCGCTCCATGAGGAGACGAGCATCCCAGCTCTGCAATGGAAAACAGACAATGAATTCTCTGCTTTTTATCATTAGATGTATTTCTGTATTAAAAAATTCCGTTTATTGGGCCACTTTGTGCTGGAAGAATTTTTCCAGCATAAAATAGCCTCTATCATTTCACTAACTAACTTATTTCACTGCTGCTAATGACGTTTCACAAACTGTCACAGGTTTTTTAGCTTCATTCGTATAAACTTTCTTGTGGTTGAGATTCTCGAGGAAACAGCCAGCACACTGAGCAGCAGAGGGTGACAACAATTGGTTTATAATACGCTGAGATTTGACAGACAGAGACAGAAGAATGAAGGAGAACAACACAGAGTCACGCTATCAAGGAGAACCTGGACGGTAGATTCAGCAGTTTGGCTTGAAACTTGCAAACTGTTTTAACTTGTTATGTCCGATTAAGTTTTCCTTCCAGGATGCTCGCCAGTTTTCTTTCACTTGTTTCCTGCCAGCAGAATGCACACACAGCTGCAGTAACTACACACAATGTTGCAGAAAACATGGAGCAGCAACAAACATGTGTTGGTCTCTAATCACCCATTCAAACTCACACAGCGACAGGTCTGTGGTCACTTATATCAGCCAATCAGGGCTAGACTTGGTGTTGCTTAGCAGGGAAAGAAATAAACTCAATGATAATGACGCTCCAGTTTCTCATGAATACGAATCACTTTAAGCAAGTCTGCAGGTTTCATTTAGTGTTTTTAACTAAACTTTTTGATGTAATCATTCTGAGTGCAAATCAAAAGTTGGACCTGTTCAGAAGTGTAGTTGTCGGGCATGTAACCGTTCCTGAAACACGCCACAGTTTGCCGTCCCTGAAGTGAAAGTGACACAAAAGACACAATCCATGTCGACACACAGCGACCTCCATCTCCTCTTCATCCAGTTTGGAGGCCTTCCTTGAAGTCTCTCGTGCTGCTGTCCACTGGGAATCCCCACATGTGCCTCTTCCCCGTGTCTACGACATGTAACAAATATAATAAAATAGCAAGAAATTATAAAGTAAATGACAAGATTTTCCATTTACTCTAATTTAACAGTAGTCATCTTGCAGAAGACAGTCGTTTGGTTACTATAGTAAAAACTATTATGTCACACAAACACAAAGAACATCAACAATGAGCACCTTTCTTTTTGCTGAAAGTGATATAGCTTTCTGTTACCATCAACTGAAACCGCCAACATTTCAGGTGTGCATGCTGGGCAGCTGAAGCTGACATCACAGCACAGCTGCTCTTCCTCATCCAGAAAGCTGTGCTGCAGTGCATCGCTTTTGGCACGCCCAGTCTGTATGTACAGAAACATAACAGAGGAGTAAATATTTGCATCTGCTTATTGAAAAACAATATCAAAGAAATACTTCACTCAGCCTTCCCCCACACTTGCAGTTGCTTGCAAAAGTATTCGCCCCCCTCAGATCTGTGGCAAGATCTGAAACTGCTGTTCACAAATGCTGTCCATCTAATCTGACTGAGCTGGAGCTGTTTTGCAAAGAAGAATGGGCAAAGATTTCAGTCTCTAGATGTGCAAAGCTGGTAGAGACAGACCCTAAAAGACTGGCAGCTGTAACTGCAGCAAAAGGTGGTTCTACAAAGTATTGAGTCAGGGGGCTGAATAATTACGCACACCCCACTTTGCAGTTATTTATTTGTAAAAAATGTTTGGAATCATGTATGATTTTCCTTCCACTTCTCACGTGTGCACCACTTTGTGTTGGTCTTTCAGGTGGAAGTCCAATAAAATTGATTCATGTTTGTGGCTGTAATGTGACAAAATGTGGAAGAGTTCAAGGGGGCCGAATACTTTTGCAAGCCACTGTAGTACCACGCTCCAACAGTTTTGCAAAAGCTTCCCTGGAGAATCATGGAGAAAATACTTTTAGTTCCAGGAAGGAGCTCAAGAGGTCTAAAGTGTAAAGAGTAGACATGTTGACAGATGCTGGCCAATATCCACTCCTAACCAGGTCCTTTAAATCAGGGCTGCACTGCTGCTGCCATGTTTGACATCTGTGTATCGCCTGGTGCACATCATAACGTCCTTGGACCAAAAAGAAGAAGAAACAACATGAATAATACACCACTGCCTTCACAGATGACTTCTGTTAAAGCAATACCATGTTCTGATTGTACAGCAAGGGCAGAAAACATGCTCCATCACACTATGTTCAAATCCATCACAGAAACCTAAATAGCAGGTTGCTGTTTACTATTAATGTCGATTAAAATCACGATTTTTCCTGCTGATACTGTGAAGTTTACGCAACCCACAGGAGCAGTTTCAAAGCTTTACTGTTGGCAGAATGCGAGCTACCAAGAAAGAGAAAACCACTTAAATAGATTCTTTCTAACTGGCTGTAGACACATATGAAAACCAAAATTGAGTGAATCTCATGAGGAAATATCTTGTGCAATTTTGACCGTCCACTCTAATAATACATGTGGTTGGAGGAATGGCTTTAAAAACATCAATAACACTTTCTCTGCTGTGGAGTGGCTGATGTTCGTGATGTAGAACATCACAATCCCCACAGAACCATTCCTCTGGAAGACACTCTCTGCACATAGACAGGACTTTGAACAAATTCAGCAAAATTTGAATAACTGAAAGTAGTATGCACTCAGATCCAGCCACTCTTGACAAAGGTAGCAGCTTCTATTTTGATATTATAGCTCCGGGTGGCTCAGTGTGCTTCACTATGAGCTGACGGTTAAAAGGACATTTGTCAAACTCATGTGGTTTTATAATTATTAAACTTCTCACACGCTCAAAGACATAAATGTCAGCCAACAAGGCATCGCTCATCAAGCTTAGCTCCATAGAAATGTATGTTATTGACACTTAATAACAGCAGGGTGAAGACAGTGGCAACACAGAGGATGGCCAACAGCTTCTGTGTCAGTGAGACATTTCAGCTGGTGTGGCCGTGCTTCTTTCCAGCACTCAGCAGCTTTCTGCTGCCAAAAGGACCGTGACACTGCCCTACTTCTTTGAGCCTCCGGAGAACGACATCAATCCAAAACAGCAGACAGCCTTTTCAAATACTTTTCTCTAAAGAATGCAAATATCAAGTATTCTTGCTCCCCTTTCTTTCTGATAATGTCACTTTTACAAATCCTGTCCCATCAGCTCTCATGGCTGGTTTGGCTTTGAGGGTCGGGGAGGACAAAAAGCTATTAAGGACCTTTTGATCTGCAGTCCAGTTCTCCTCTAAAGTATTAAGGATGAAGCAACAGTGCTCCTCTTTGCTATTCTGAAATGTGTGTTAAACACAGTGTAGAAGGTAAGTAGAAGCTTACACAGCACCATCAGCCATCATGCTAAATTTGCAT